GAAATACTTTCAAAGTTTCTTCCAAAATTATTTAATCGTATTTTGCATATGATTTAGTTAACAAAAATTTTTAGTCTTTAAAATTTATATCTATTATAAATTCAAATCGTTTTTGGTCCTTTATTAAATCAATATGAGGAGAAAAATTTAATTCAAAAGTCAAAGTAATTGATTATATAGAGAAAAAAAATGAAAATGATGATGAAGCAAGTTGGAGGAAATATAGATTACTAAATTTAACATATAGTAGGATTCTTGTGGTAAAATTAGATCAGGAAATAAATCTATGCAAATGAGTAAAAGCAAAATGATGAATGGTTTTTTTTTATGGTCCAAATTAAAAAAAGCAGATCTGTACGAAAGAAATTGAAGACAATAGGAAGATGCTAACTACAAAAAAAACGAAGAAGAATTAAAGTTGCTAAACCTTTTAAAAAATAATTGGATAATAAAGTTTAGTAAATTGATGAATTTATCCAAAAGTTGAAATAATGAATATAGGTTAAAGAGCTGATTCAAAATTAGTATAAAGAGAGAGATACAACAGAAAGTTGTAAAGATGAATTCACTTTTAAGTTAATTATCTAATGAACATTTTTAAACTCTTTTGTTGAGTTATTTCCTCACTATTAAATATATGCTTCATTATTATATTGGAAGTATATATATGACATTTTTGTATTTTAGAATAGATAGTTGGAATAAGGAAGAAAATGAATGCGTTTTAATATAATTTGATGATAAATTAAAAAAGAATGTTTTTCAGTGGAATAAAAATATCAATTATGCGGTACTTATAGTGAAGCTGATTTTGACAAAAAAGTAATTTTTGATATCTAAATGATTCATTCCTCTAATAATATTTTCATAATAATAACATCAAATTTAAATTAGGGGGCAGAAAATGTATAATAATGAAATATTTAGGAATCATGGGGGTTAAACAAATTTAAAATTGAAATATTGAAATGCCAAAAGGATGTGTGTATTGTTAAGATGATATAATGCTATGCGACTTTTGGATTCATGTTAAATCATTTTGGTAAACTCCAAGTGAGTTTGATGGATGGAAAATAGATGATACAAAAACACTCTCTCCAAGTGTATGCGCTGGTCTTAATATTGCTGGAGGATACCCTAACTTAAAAGTAAATTAAACAATTGAAAATACTATCTTTAATTTATCTTCCCATTTTAATGTTTAAGGAGAATTCAAACTTTGGTTGTTTGGCATTTGGA